TGATGAATGTGCTCTCTGCCACAGCAGCACCTCAGCACTGGGAACGATGGCTCTTGGCTCTGCTGAGCAGCAAATTCAGAGCCAAGAACTGAGAATTTATTGAGAATAAAGCTGTCTGTTCAATAGCAACATTTGAGTACTGGAACAAACCCCCATGTACATCAGTTTAGCTGTGTCTATCTGACAAAGTCAGCATCTAGATAAAATGCCAGTACACCCTAAAAATTATGTGGAGCAACCCACAGCAAAACACCTTTCTATAGATTTTATTCTTTGGCTCTTTTTATGACAAAACACTTGGAAACCATCAGAGGTGGAGTTTCACTCAGTGAAGAAAACTTCCTTTTTAGATTAACTTTTCACTCTTGTTTATAGAGGTAAGATAGAAGTTGGATACCAATGGACTCATAGTTTGCTTAAGGTAGTAGTCAAAGGGTGTTTACAGCTTTTGTAAAAGAATGTGATTATTTTATACTTGTATTTATTCAAAATGAGAAATTATCATCAATTTCCTTCTATTATCATTTTATTTTTTTCCAGTGAATTCTAGTCCATGGATTCTGTTTTGAAAAACTCAAATAATTTAATGTTTCTGTGCCTACTATATTTTCTCTGGATTAGACTATTTAGACGATGAAAGAAACGTCAGACTTGTTTTAATTCTTTGTTAAACTAGACCATTGTCTGTCAGGTGGATGCCTAACAGATGTAGCAGCCATTTTCTTTTTTAATTGCAGTATATTCAGATCACAGGACTTCTGTATGAGCAAAGAGAGTAATCATATACCAGGTAGAAAACTGGATTCCAAAAGGCTACATAAAATTCCTTTTATTTCCCAAATGGGACACAGTAGGTTCCCATGGAAGTTGCCAGATTAGCTTAGGATAATTATATCTATTTTCACAAAGCCTGCTAAATGAACCCTATGAAGATATATTAATTGTTTTAAATATTGCAGTAACCTCCTACCAAGCTATGCCAAATCTTAGAGGTTGCAATGTCTTTTCCTTGTTCTTCCAAACTCTGATTTTGACTACAAGTCCTGAACAGAGGAAAACTTAAAAGCCTCCTGTTGCAAGCCCACGTTGAGCTAAAGGAATCATAGAATTATAGAATATCTCAAGTTGGAAGGGACCCATAAAGATGGAGTCCAACTCCCTGCTCTGTATCTAAAGCTATCCCAAATGACCAAGAATGTTCTCCAGACACTCCTTGAACTCTGACAGGCTTGGTGCCATGACCACATCCCACTGTGGAGCCTGTTACAGTGACCAACCACTCTTCCAGTGAAGAACCTTTTCCTAATGCCTAATCAGAACTTCCCCTGACACAGCTTCATCCCACTTCCTCATATTTTGCTGGTCACCAGAGAGAGACCAGCAGCCCCCCTCCACTGCCCTCCCTGAACACCCTGCAGACTGTGGCGAGGTCCCTCAGCCTTCTCTTCTCCAAGCTGAACAAACCATTTGCCCTCAGACACTCTTCCAAGTCTTGCCCTTGAGACTTTTCACCACTTTGCTTGCCCTCCTTTGAACATGCTCTATAATTTGATGTTCTTCTGACAAAGAAGCATCAAACCTGCACATGGGACTCATTGTGGTGCTACACCAGCACAGAGCAGAGCAGGACAATCCAATCCCCTCCCTCAAATGGCTGCTGATGCTGGGGTTGATGTACCACAGGACATGGTTGACATTTTCAGCTTGCCATCAACCCAAGCCTCCAGCACAATTCTCACGAATTTAAATACTCAGAAAGGCCTGAGGAGCAGGGATGCCTGGTTAGAATTGTCCATTTCAAGATGCCACAAGGTCTATTTTGTCCTGCTCACCATTCCATGTAACAAGAGGGACCACCAACAGGCAGGTGTGGTCCTAAATGCAGCAAGCCCTCTTTGCCCAGAGTCCCAGAAACACACACATGAGGTGAAGGCCTGCTAGGTGTAAATTTAGAAGGCTTCAAAAGCTGTCATGGAGCTGTGCAAAGAGGCAACTCCCAGATACTGTCAATTGTCTGGCTCTGTTTCTGTTTTCTGGCTGGTTTGTTTCAAAGTTGTGAGGTTTATTTTTTCAAACTTTCCTTAAAGTTACTTGGTCTGGCATTGAGGAAGGTAATTTATTTACATAGAAGGGGCTGGAGTTTAAACACAAAGATGACTGAAGATAACCTTCCCTTCTCTGTTTTACCCAAAAGGAATTTACTGAAAGTCTTTATCAAACCCTCTCCTCCCTCAGACTTGGGAGCAGGAAGAGGCATAAATGGATTAGGGCCTGTTCCACCTGCAGCAGTCACCGAGTACAGGCCAAACAGTGAAAAGTTCAAGAAAGTAGGTAACACTGTCACCTCACAAAGGTCTGGGGACCAGGTCAGTTGTGAAACACACTAACAGCATGGGGCTGGCCCAGCCTTTGAAACAAAAAGCTGAAAACAAGCTTTAGTCTGACACCACAAGGAGAGGAAGCACTCAGGCTCAATCAGGAGGAACGTGTTGCACTGCAAACTGGCAGGGATTTATTGCAATTCCCACTTCCAGTAAAATCACAAGTGAGGATCAGGGGGGTTGGCTCTCTCCCCATCCTTGGCACAGGAAGCACCTCTTGGCTCTTCAGTTTTGTCTGCTTAAGCCTCTCCTGTAGCTCTGGGTGTGTTGTGGTTTAACCCCAGGCAGCAGCCAAGTACCACAGGCCACTCGAGTCACTCCCTCACCAGCAGGATCAGGGGGAGAATTGGAAGGGTAAAAGGCAGGAAAATCAGGGGGTGTAAAAAAGACTGTTTAATAGGGAAAGCAAAAGCCATGCACACAAGCAAAGCAAAACAAGAAATTGATTCACTTTTTCCCACAGGCAGGCCGGAGTTCAGTCACATCCATGAGAGCAGGGCCCCACCACACAGAACCATGACCTGGGAAGACAAAAGCCATCACTCCAAACATCCTTCTTTTCCTCTTTCTTTCCTTCCCCCACTTTATATACTGAGCATGATGTCATGGGGCATTTTTCTGCAATAAAGAACAGTGTCATAACAACAACTACAACTGCAGAAGGTCATTATTTCATCTGTTCAGAGACATAACCTCACCAGAGCAAGGATAAGGTAGAAAAAAATGTGGAAGTGTATACGTCCCTCACAGCTCATTTTGTGTGTATTTGGCACTCCAGTAAAAACTTGCTGCTAGCTCTCTGTAGCTCAGTTGTATTCACTGCTTGTTGAACTTTTCTTCAAAAATGGGCAAAAAGCTCATGGCTAAATTTGGGTCAAAAGAAATTACAGTGGTGAGATTTAGATTCAACTTTATGTAACTGGAAGCCCATATCAGCATTCCAAGTCTGCAAGCAAGACTCAACATTTTAATTTTGGATTCTGCTCAGAAGAATCCAGACAGAAAACCTCGCGAATAAATAAAATTTTGACAACATTATGAGCATCATTAACAACTTGATTATTTTTCTACAGCTGTCTCTCTGCCAGCTGCCTGAAGTTAAATGTCCAGAGTCAACAGGAACATGCTGAAAGAGCTGCAAGAAACAGCAACTTTGTTTTTTCAAACAGCATCTAATTGGTATTTTCTGAAGATTGAAGATAAGGAAATATTGAATTCCCTAACTTTCCATCAGCCTAGAAAATCCTGTGCATTTATGGAAACCACACACATACTAGGTAAGGTTCTGCTGACTTAGGCAATGTGGGACTTCACCTGTTGCTTGGGTATATCTTTGTTGCAATTTCCTTCTCTTCAGACAGGAGGAAGCTCCTGTATTGCTTAATACAAGGATTTATGTCCTACAGCTTGCACTCCCTCCAGCAGCCTCCACTTCCACTGAGCACAGCCTTAAAGACATGCAATATTCTTCCATAAGTGCCAGCAGCCGGGTTCAACAATTTTTCACTTTGTTTTGGTCTCTCCTTCATTTACTGCCATTGCCATGACCTGATCTGTCCCTAGGATTTACCACAATGAAAACATATTTGTTTTTGTAAATAACAACATTAACTTTACTGATGCTAGAAAGAGGATCTGTATTAAAAATAACATGCCTAAAATCTGAGCACAAAGGATCTTGGAAGTCACATGGTTTGGAATAAACACACCACAGGGCTTTTTCATTTACAGGTGCCTGGATTTGGCTGCTTTGGAAGTGAGTGCCCAGCAGCTGCTGCCAGTGGGTGCTGAGGAGTTGGCACCTGTTAGAGGAAATTCAGCATTAAACACTCTGTTATCTTGCCCATGAAGCAGTCACCCCTCTCCCTTTATTTGCATAGATAAAAAATTTCCATGCATGTGTTTCTGCATTGTCCTAAACACTGCCCTGTAAACCTGAACCATACCACAGTGGCAAACAGAACATGTGAGCAAACAGAGCATGTGAGCGTGTAACAAATGCTGCTCACACCAGGCAGAGCCCGTGGCCATGGCAGGGATCCCCAGAAGGAAAGCAACCACCAGGCCATGACTAACAGAGAAGCAAGAACTGAACGTGAATCATCATCTTCCAATGTACCAAAACCAAAACAACATTAGGTGACAAATACACACACACTGAGACAGAGAAGCTGCACTTCCCTTGCCAGAGCAACGCAAAATTCACTTATTATTCTTTCATAAGCAACCAACACGTAATTCCTGGTGAAAAGTACACACAGCTCCCTCCCTGTGGCTGCCCCATCCTACTCTTCACGTGCTACTCCTGCCCACCATAGCACCTGTGGGCTTGTACTGTGGAGAAGTGTGGGCACAGGAGCAGATTGACCACAGGAGCACAGGGGTTGCAGGAATCTGCAGGAACAGGAGCACAGGGGCTGCAGGAATCTGCAAGAGATTGACCACAGGAGCACAGGGGCTGTAGGAATCTGCAGGAGATCCACCACAGGAGCACAGGGGCTGTAGGAATCTGCAGGAGATCCACCACAGGAGCACAGGGGCTGTAGGGCTGCCTGGCAGAGTTGTCAGCTCCTCTGGGAGGGGCACCCATTCTTGTACCATCTTTCATCACCATTACCTTGGCATTCAGGTCAAGGTTAGCATGCACCTCAATCTTCTCTTACTAAATGTAGCAGTATCAGTGCAGGAGTGTGCCTGGGTTTTTAAAGTTCCGTTTCTGCTTCTGATATTGATTTTGTCGGTGCTGTACATGCCTAAAAGAGAGATAACATAACATGAACTCAAATGGCAATGGCAATACAAAGATAGTTTGTTTGAAGCACTGTCAAAACCTTATGAGATCACACAAACACTCTGTTGAGAGAATGTGTAAACAAAAATAAATGTCTTGTATAAACTGCTACACCACTCTTAATCAGGAAGCTTTCATTGCTGTCAATCTTAGTTAGTCATTACATTCATTGTTAATTATAACCCTCCCAAATTTTATTCTATATTATTCTTAAGATCAAGGCGTTCTGACTGAGACAATCTTTGAGGCCAACACCACAATATAGAAACCTCTGAGACAGAAGTGCCTGTCTATAACAAAAAGTACAGGGAGGTCAGCCCTGGCTAATGCCAGGGAAAACTCCTTGTGCATTGTGACCAACTTGATGGGTAAAGGCTCTATCTGCTCCTAGTAACTTCAGTTTTAATATTTGTCCTAATACAAAGTTACTGCTTCATATTATTTGTAAAACTTATTAAATGTAAGACAGGTGAAAATTTTAAAGACTTAGTAAAACTTCAGAACGATATTTCACTTTGGCTGAAGTCACAGGAATCTAAAGCAGGAAATGGGAGTGGACATTGACACTAGACAATGAACAATTTGTTCAAGCAAGGATTTAGAATTTGTGAAAATTCTTACATATTGCAAAACACTAGTGAAAACCCCTTCATCCCATGGTGCAATATCCACACTTCTGCCTAGGTCTTACATGCATAGAGATCTTTCAGTTGCTGACTACAGTGACCTCTGCCCACACTTCAGCTCTCAGACTGAAGGGTACTTTGCCACTGAGTACTTGCTCTTCACGTAAAGATGGTGTCATGATTTGTATGTTGTGAAGACATTTTGTACTCATTATTAATACAGCAGTATTTCTGTGCTTTGAACATCATCTGAAAGACCATCTGTAGAGTTTTCAGAATTAAATAATGTGCAAAAAATAAATCCATCAATGTTCCAAAGTTTACTGAGAACAGAATTTATGATTGCTTATGTACAATGTTCCCTTTTCAACTTGAAAGTACTCCAGCAAATACCTATATTCATTAGGATGGCTGTCAGGACTTTAAAACTCTTCTTGGGACTGCACATAGAGGAAACATTATAAGCTTCCTCATTCTCTAAAGAGATGAAATGTTATGGAAAGGCTGGTTTACCTGAACAATGAGGAAGCAAGGTCAAGCTCAGAAGTGGAGGCACCAGACAAATTCAGACCAGAGCTCTGAACTGCAACCCAGGTCTTATGACTGAATTTCAATCTGCCTTAGGTAAAATGCCGTGTTCCTCCTCAGAACTGGTCAGTTAGATTAGAAATCTGGTAGGGAATCATATTTGATGAAGAATTTTGTATGAAGCCATGTACACAGTTTTAAGCAGAAAGCAGCTTAAAACTGAATGTCACTACTGATTATTTACAGTGCTGCATTGATATTAACTGGTAGGGAGAATTTGGTTTGGCTTTTGGCAAGGAAATACTTCTAAAGGTTATCACAGACTATCACAGAGAGATTGTGAAGTTTGGGGAGTGAACAAGGAGGGGATTCTGGGAAAGGAAGAAAGAAAAGACTGGAAATAACTGCCAGGTCAGAACCACTTATTCTCTTGAGAATTTTATTTCACCACTGTAGTAATAACCTGACCTGATTCAGTGGAAATTGTTTCAAGGCCAGGGAAAGGCAAACAAAAACACACATCAGAAAGCTGCAAACAGAACTGACACTGCAGGATCAGGATTTCATCACCTCTAGGAAAAGACAGCCTGATCATTTCCCACGGGGAATACCAAAACAATCTCCCTTGCCCTACAGGCGCAGGACTGGATCCAAGGTGATTGCAGAGGAGAAACCAAACATCTGCCCTTCCAGTAAGGGGCACAGACAGCCCTCAGTAATGCCATGCCCACAGCAGTTTTCAAGGATGAAGTCAGAAACTACTCAGAAAATAATTGGCAGTTGCCAAACTAAATACTCAGAATGTTCTATTTGTTTCATAACTTTATGTTTGTTTCTACCATATTGCTATGAAAAGTTGTGGCACTTCTCATTAGATGCCTCTAATTCTAAGTTCCCATAAAAATTATTTGCCACAGAGCCTTAGGAATGATGGAAAAAGCCCACCAGTCTCATTCCTTCAATTGCTGTTAGATCTAGCTGGAAATTCACCCATAGAGCAATTCTCCAAAAGAACAGTAACTTGGTAGTGTCGTGTAAGGGTTTTTGGCAACATTATATTTGTATCTGTTCTCTACAGAAATATTTTGTTTTGACTTCAAAGAATTTTATGTTAATCTTTCTTTTACTCCAATAGAATTACAATTTTGTGTTTAACACTGCTGAAAAAGTAATGAAATGCCTTGATCTAGTAAAATAAATTATCTTTATCTTGATCATTTAGAAGTAAAATGTATCAGAAAAAATTAATTGTAGTAAATAAAAAAGGTCAGCTTTTCATAACAATTCCAAAGAAAAGAATTCTTAGAACTTCTAGTCAGAAAAATTTTCATTTTTTTATTACACTGTAAAAGCAGGTGAGATTGATGGAATTACTGGCATCATTTCACTTTCTCATGGCTCATAGTAATTGTTACAAATTTTAAATCTGAGACCATGTATGTAGCTTGCCAGACACAACAGGGAACTGGAAACTGCAGACATCCATCCTGAGTCTGACACAGACTCACTGCTGCTCAACTCCCATCTTCTTGCTCGCCCACAGCTCAGGGAGCCTGTGGGAGGCTGGGAAATGCCTGGAATGCAGACACGTGGCTCAAGAGGGCAATTTCATCTTTCTTTTTCCTCCTATATGGCAACTGGGAGAACTACTAAGCTACAAATCTTACCTAAGATTATCCTTGCACAGCATTTTGTAGCGCAGAGCAACCCAAGACCTTGCACCTGTTTGATTTATCAATGGGAGTAGTAGAGGATTAAAGATTATGAGTGATTATTCAAAAAAGCTGTGTGTAGAGGTGTGTTCCTCAGCCCTGACAGCTGATGCCTCTCCAGAGGCAGAGCCCAGAGCTCTTGCTGCCACATCCCCTCCAGGAGCTGAGTGCAGTGAAGGGAGAGGCAGAGGTTCATCATATGACCAAAATCTATAACCCCCTCACCCTTCCTTCTTCCCTCAGCCAGCCTGCCCTGGAATTTGGGGGCAGATACCCAATCACCTTGCTCCCTGATGGCTGCTGGAGGATCACACCAGTGCTAAAAACACCAAGAACCCATGCTAGGGGAATGACTGTGGACTCCACAGCCCTGGAAGACAACAAAGCTGAGCTTCAGGCAGCCTCTCAGAAGCTGATAGCAGACACAGAGAGACTGGGGAGGAGTACCAATAACACAAGAAACTACTTAATCTTTTGTTAAATTATCATACCACAGGGTGCAATTAAGGCTTAGGACAGTGTAGGCTCTAAGGGCTATACTTGTGTGTGGGAGAGGGGTGATTTTCTCCCTCCCAAAATTCATGTGCACATTCCTCAGCTCCACTGACCTCACTGAAAGGATGGAGAAAAGTGAGGAGGACTTCACCAAAAGACAGAGGTGCTCCTGCAGCAATAGAAAGTAAGGGCAAGACTGAGACTTGCTCCTACTTCCAGGCCCATATCCCCCCATATTCACCCCCTGTTAAGATTCCCCCATGGCCCTGCACTTCAGGGAAGTTAAAACCCCACAGCCTGCCTGCACGAGACCAGAGCCCAACCACACAGGCTGCATTTGAAGTCTTGTGCCTGTGGTGCAGTTTGGCACAGCGAGTTCCCAGAGGGCCAAGGCAGAGGCACCTCCCCACTGCAGTGAGAAGAGCACAGACAACTGTCCTCCTGTGTAGGAAAATCCTTCCCTCAAAGGCTTCTCCCCTGAGACTGACCAACTGATTAACACCCCCGAGAGCTTCTTTGACTCATTCATGGATGCAGTTAGGAAGAAATGTTCCCACTCATCAAGGGCTGGTCTGGAATCTGACCAGAATGGTGCCTGATTTCCCAACACCAGCTCTCAGTGGTGCTGCCAGCTCAGCACGATGCCACAGCCTGGCTGCAGAGGGTCACCCTCTCCAGCAGGAACAGCCCCTGGCAGGTGTTTGGTTTGTAATTCCTTGCCTTGTGGTTACTCTGTGCTCCAGCTGGACCTTCCCAAGGTAGTCCTGCTCCAGAGAAGGAACAAAACTGTTGCTCAATAGGGGAAGTTTGGTGAGCGTTATGAGATAAAGCTTCCAAGAAATCGGAAGGAAATCAGGAATGTTTTGGCTGCCAGATCAAAAACAAACACTCAAAGGTGCATACAACATCAACCTTCCCCCCCACCCCTCATGTGCTCCCAGCACATTCCTGTCCCATCCAAAAAGCAACAGTAAAACCTCTGACCTGCTGCCTAGTGGCAGAAAGAAGAGGAAGCAATGTCACTGACTTTGTTGATGGTGTCCCAAGGCACATAACTGAGAATTAGAGAAGTACCTGTTTGGAGGATTAAGACCCACAGCAAAAAGTTTAGAGGATTACGTTGAAATAATACCTGACCAGTTCTTTAGGAAGTACTACACAGATTATTCTTGTCACAATTTTTGAGGGTAGTTTTCTGTGCAGTCTGTGCAAAGACCCAGAGGAACATTCACAGTTACACCAACTCAAATAGTTGCTTTTTATGACTCACAAAAGAAGTTTAGAAGGCTATTATTAAAAAAAAAAAATAGAGCTGACCCATAGAAAGCTATTAGATCAAAAATCTTGGACAAACACCACTGTGTTTCCTACATCAGGCAGTGATCAAGGAAAAAACCAAAACACAGAAGGACAATTAGGATGAACTAAAGAAAGATCCTCTGGGGAGGTGTCTTCTCCAGTACAGAGCCTGGGACAAATTTAGAAACAGGCGTAACCACTGGATGGTTGATTTTGTGTTTTCCTTGGATTTTTCTCAGTGCAGTAAAGAAATATATTTGCTAAAAAGTAAGAAAAATCTAACTGCAAATATTTTGTTTTATAAGGCCTTTCTCTACATGTTGAAAGTTGGAGAAAGAGGGTTTGAAGCTGGAGGCCAGAGGTCCCTTGGCAGCCCACCACACCCTTTCTTCTCAGAGAAGATTTACAGGCTTTACTGGTATTACCAAGCACTCCAACTGCAAGAAACTTAATAATTTTCTGAAGCTGAAAAGGAAGAAGAAGCTGAAGGAAATTATGAAGCTGAAGGAAAGGAAGAAACCATAACTTCCCACTTTGTAAATCAAGTGGCAAAGTCCAGCAACTGAAGGAGGTGATGTGGTTGTTTATTTAAAGGAGTGCTAGGCAGGGCTCCTGTATTATACTCTCTAACAGGTACATGTGCCATCCCAGTGCTGCTCTCATCATCTCTGTGGTGGGGTTTGAGGAAAGGAAGAGGACAAGGTTAACAAATTTGAAAGAAACTCGCTGTAAACAACCATCTCTCAGGTGTGACCATATGCAACTTGTGGCATTGAAAGTTAAAATCACTCAGTGAAACATGGCTTTTATCAGAAGGAAAACAAAAGTTCTACAGAAGCCAAGAAAAGCCAGGAAAAAGAAAATAACCATGCCACAGGAGACAAAAGACCAGTAAAATCAGGCAGAAAATCTAACTTCAGGTCTGAGGAATGCAGTACTAAAGCTCTGTAATTGCTATGGACCAAGTAGGAAGATGAATGAGTAGAGATGGCCAGAGATTTGCCAAACAGAAAAGGTAAGCTTAAAAAAAGAGGAGTAGAACCAACAAGGACAAAGAGGTTCAGCTCTGAAACACTGACCTGACAGCTTTGGTAGGCTGCACAAAAGCAAAAGGAAGAAAAGGGAATGTAAAGAAGATTTGGCTACTTCTGTCTTCCATCAGGAGTCATTGCAGTGTATGATAGTAACAGGCAGCATCAGATTTCTCAATATTAGCTTTACGTTGTGTTGCAAATAGCAAAAAAAAAATCTGATAGTATGGTGTTAAACAGAATCTTACAGAAGAATGTTCCCTCTTGGCTGAAACATGCCATTTTTGTCTGTGTGTGTTCCTTCTACGTGCAATTTTTATCTGTATTATTTCTTCAGTTTTGGAAAGTTAAGACATTAGTACCAGGGAATTTTGAAGCTTATCAGAAAAGCTCTAGAGCATTCCTTCAGTTCTTGTATCTTAGGGGTTTATGAACGTTCCCTCAATTGCACAAGACAGAAAACACTGGAGGATTCTGCAGGCAGAAATTAGAGCTGCTGATAAATCTACCACATGGAATTTATTTACTCAAGTAATTACTTTGCTTCAGATAGGAAAGAGAACAGCACTTGTAAAGGTACCAGAGAGAGACATGGCAAATTTGCTTCTTGTGACCATACATACAGGAAAGAGAACACCACTGCTCAGTTGCAGCCCAGAGGGTCCCCAGAGGAGGCACTGCTCATTGCAGTGTCAAACACACGTTTGTAGACTCTGACTATAGTGCATTATTCCTGGACTGTGTTTTGGAAGGGGACACGAAGATAAAGTCTGCTGCTCACTTCAACGTTGACAAACCTCCAACAAGATCTCCTAACAGATAAAGATCATCATCAGCAAACAGTTTGTTTGCCTGAAGTATATTGACCTCCATGTAGCGAACATTTTTCTTCCCCATGATCAACCCCAGTGGTTTGTAAATGATACTGGTATCAGTGGCCCATGGGTGGAGGCAGTGCTGTGTAGACATGGAAGGATCAGCAGTGGTGCCTATGACACCTTCTGACCTAAGAGTGTGTGAGTTTGCGTGTGCAGGTCTTGTCACATGTTCAAATCACGTTCCACCACGTACGTCATGGTTTTCCAGCCTGATGGAAAACACAGCTCTGTGGTTTGGCACCTCTTGCCCATGATCCCTGCAGACCAGTGGACTACAAAGAATAATTATAAAAAAACCTGCCTTATAATACGCTCTGGGTCTTGTACTTCCATAGGATTTTTTTTTTTTTTAGGATTCCTATATCGAAGTAATTAGAAAAAACACAACCTGGCTGAAGTAGGACTGTGCAGGAGATAAGAGTAGTCAATTATAAACACTATAAATATCCCTCTTATCTTAAAATCTTGGAATTTCAGATATTAGACATAGTGAAACCCTTAAGCTCCCACTAGCCTATGTGAACTGTCCTCTTCAAGAACAGAACACATTTCCAAGAGCAAACCAGGGATAGACTTGATATTATGGGCCAGATAACTGGGAGTCATTAAAACCCAGCTCCAAGGGCTTCTGTCTCTAATAATTTTTGACTAACTTCATTTTTTATTTGCTGTAATCTAACTGTTTTGCTCTGGAATTTATTACCCACATAGATGCCAGACTGAGTTAGAGCTTCTACTGAAATATGTAAAAGAGCTGGAATTGCCACATGAAACTGCCGCACTTTCCAAACATAATAAATAATTCACTTAGGAATAAAATCATATCCATGTTTGTAGATTTTGTCACAATGAGTTCTCTAAATATAGCTTTTTCTCTGAAGTTACGCAACTTTAAAAAAATATTACTATTTTTGCTATTATGTTGCTATCCCCATCTAATCTGGTACACAACAATTTATGCCTGCAGCAAAATGCCTCAAACACAGAACAAAGCTGATTTCATCAATATGTAATCTTACATGTAATCTTGCCTTATCTTCTGACTTACTCTTTACTTCTATGTAAATTTTTAGTTGTGAGAAGCCTTGTACATCAGAACCCCATTCTTATATAGCTGCACAACAAATTAAACTGACCTGCTGGAATTCCATATTACCAGGCATGCACTGATGCCGTGTGCAGTCCCATCATGGGACTGTCCCCTGTGCTTGCAGAAATTACTAAAGCACTGATGTGAATAGTGAATATTTGTAGGGAAGAGGTGTTTTCATTAGAGTGTTTGCATAAGGCACAAGTGCACAGAAACACTGATTTTGGGCACCTCCATTTCTGGATGTTTCAAAGAAGATACTTAGGACCTAACCTGGAAAGTACTAAACTTACAGAAGGCTCCAGTCCTCAGTGACTGATGAGTGAAACTAAGCACCAAAATATGAAAAATTTAAAATTTAAGAACTTCGTTTCAGCCATCTTTTTGGACAGCAATGTGGCTCAGAAGAGGAAATGGAAAAGTGATTTTTCTCCTCTCAAGGAAATTGTTTCATGTTGTGTAGTGACTCATGTCAGATAAAAACAGGGGATTTACTTCTTACCCTGAACTCTGTACAGTAGATTCACCTTTGAAAGCAAAGAGTGTCACTGGAACTCTGATTGAACACCAGAGCATGCAATACCAGTATTTAACAGAGATGCCTGATACATGCCTTGGGGGATTATTCATGCCATCCACCTTAGTTATTCAAGAATGATAATCACAGTCTCCTAGGAGAACATTTCCTCCTGCAGACAATGCATGCAAAGCCAGGTATCTCCAGAAGACAACAAAGACACCTTAGGTCAAAACTTCCATCAATTTAGACCCTCCTCCAAACATATCCCCATGCTCCCAAAAAAGTCAATGCAGAAAGAGGAGCAATGGCAGCAAGTAATTCAGATTTAAAACAAACTGCAGGGGTACCTTTTTCAACACTGAATAAATATAAAGCAAGCAGAGGTCCTGCAGTGCCAGTGGTATCTCTGCAGCCCGCAGGGGTTTTCTGTGGTGCCCCAGCAGCTGCTCTGGCACCAGCAGGTAATGCTCATGAACATCTGTTTCACTGCCCTGCAGCCCTTGCTCAGCTGGGACAGGGTTCTGTGGGGCAGTGGGGTGTTCACAAATGGGTCAGGTTAATTACCATTGGGATTGTTTTCTGAAGGCTGCATGGACTTCCAGGAGCTGAAAGACTCAGTTTTTATGATAAGCAGTGGATCCACCTGTAAAACAGAAACACTGACTTTTTAAAGTTTGGCTAATTGAGATCTGATTATTAATGTCTAACAATCTTGGTTTAAAAAAAAAAAATCTTTCTACAAAAAGTGTTATTATTGTATCAAAGTTGTTTTCATACCATCCAAGCAGATAGTCCTCTACAGCAGTCTGTAATTCAGCACTAGGTGGCCTCTTTCTTCTTTCAGACAATGTCTGATAGATCTTTATATCACCTAACGACTTTAACAAAAGTAAAAAGCATTAGGCAAATCTAAAGAACTTTGTTCAGAAGGATTTTAAGACAAATATTGCAAAATGGTCATTGTTTCCTAACTAGAATGCATTCAGTATAGCTCAGAATACAGAACTGATTCTCTGTAACTTGGCTTGCAGCCTAAGCCTTGAGCAATGTTTCATCCACAACTTCCCAGGAGGTACACAGAGTATTTTTATTCCTGAAAAAAAGCCCAAAACCAAAACGTGCCTTCATCCAACTCATAGATGCAAGAGCATACAGAGGGGAAGAGGGTGTGTAGATAAAATAATTACACTTTTCTACTCAGCTTAGGTTTTTCCAGGTGAGATCCAAAATAGCAGTCAGAGCTTCACCTCCCCTGCTCTGAACAAAGCTCTTGCACTCCAGCAGCGTGTGCTCCTCCTGCCAAGTGGTCTGCAAAAGCAGAAAACTCTGATGAATCACGGAGCATTTAAGAGACTCATGGATGGGATTGAGGTTTCTAATGCAGAGACCAGCATAATTGTTTAATTGGAGCGTTTAGCTTTCTTGAAGAGGCTAACAAGGAAACGAGCATTGCCTACAGCAAGAGAGCACTCTGGCAAAATGGCCTCAGGAAAGGGGTTCTTAATTTGCCTTTCAGAATTTCCCAACCACCAAAAGCACAATCACTTCATTGCAAAATCACTGTGCTTCTGCAGGATAAGCTTTGTGCTAAACAAATGCTTGTAGCAGTATGGGCGATTAGGTGAGATCATATGAGGAAATAAAATATGTTTTGCCATGGTGTGGCTGAGCAGTGACTTCCTCCATCAGTTGAAATGGGATAATTTGTTTACAGAGCAGGTAAACGCTTCTTGCTAGGTAAAGAATGAAGACTGGAGCTAGTAAATGTGAGCCAACAAAAGGTGATTTATGACAGGCTGCTTCTCTGGGGAGTTCTGTGGGCATCCCCATGAAAAGGAAAGTAGTGACTTCTGTTGGTCACCACATGAAGGGAAGCAGAGGCTGTCTATCCCTGCTGTGCTGCTCTGCCTCTGACTTAACTCCTCTGCTCCTTTGGAGTATTTTTCTTCTCAAACAAGTAACAGGAAGGGTTTAAGACCCCAGTGAAGTCGAAGAGATTTCCTCTATGTATTGTCATTAAATATTTGGTCTGAGACAGAAAGGAAGCAAGGCCAAAGGAAATGCTCTGTGTGACAGCTTTAGGTGCCAGCTGCCAGCATTGCCCTACTTTATTATGAGTTCAGCTGGTCTGAACACAACACAACAAAGATTATAGGACAGGCACGGGTGGCATCGTGAACATATCAAAGACTTATGACAGGATCCACAGTAGGAGGGAGCTCTGGGATCAACCTCTCAATTCTTCTTGTGTCTCCAGCCGTGTCTAACTTGGCTCACCCGGCCTCATTACCAGTGTCACAAGTCCTCAGTACTGCCACCCAAGGAGAACCTGTGAACATTCCTCAGTAATTATTCAGAGGCTTTCGACAGACCCTCACGCTGAACCCACCCTGTTCATTCCACCTGAATCTCTGACATTTTTTAAAAGGTGGATTTTTTTTTTTTTTTATGGCATGCCTTACAAGTCTTGCTTAACCCAAGTGCTGTCTTTGCAATCAACAAGTACATCATTTCCCACCCAGCTTGGGTATGGATAAAATCTGCTCCTGCCTTCAGCATGAAGACTGCTCTGGGTACTCCTGCAGCTGAATTAACTACGAGGTAGCCAACATTAACAATTTTTTGTTTTCATTACCTGTTTGTGTTCCTCATTCATCCTAAAGTTACCTGAAAATTATCAAACATCAGAATAAAAACAGCTAGAAAAGCAGCTTGTTGTGTCATAGTTCAGGTTCATGTGTGACTCAGAGCTGAAGGAGTAAACATTCCTAGCTCCTATTGGTAATTTCTTTTTCGGGTGTTCCAGTTGGTGAAAGAAAAGTCTCTTTGCATTCCTGCAGGGGAAGAAGATCAACAGAAAATCAGATGAAAGACTGTCAGATCCCAGGCTGAGTGCCAGTGAAGTCCACAGGGCTTTACCCAGTTAATACAGCATATTTAGTGTCATACTATAAAGTCTTTTTTACTTAGACTAGTCCTTGAAAACAACTCCCTTGGGTTGTATAATTTTCATAGTAAAAGCCCATATATACTGAGCTACAGCAGTCTATTAGCACAGATTTAAAAGAAAAATGAATCCTTTTACTATTCAACATGTTGATTACATTATGAAATCTGAGTTGGTCTAAAAAGTACATTCTTAAGCAGACCTTTGTCAAACATTTTTACTGCACACTGAATGCACATGGAGGAATCCTCTTGCAAAGAAGCACAACCACTTTGAAGAACAAATTCTGCACACTGTAGTTATCTAATAGCCTTTCAGAATTTCCCAAGCACCCACTGAGCAGCATTACTAACATCAGACAGCTAATACAGTAAACAAGGACACTCAGCACTTTATGATAAAAAGGGATTCACAATCACAACAGTAGAGATATGTATAGAGAGACAAATTGCAGAGTCCTTCCCTTGGAAGAAACCCGGCTGTGGTTTGTGGGGGTGTTTGCAGGGTGAGATGGAGCACATGAGTAGCATAAGATCTATTTCACTACGTGTAAATCTCCTCAAAGCACTCACCAGAGCAAGTCAAAAACCACAAAGTAATGCTGCTCAGCATCTACTGAGAAAACTTACCATGCTGCCCTGCAAGTGAAGGTCCTAAATAGTTGTATGTCACATAAACATCACCTCTTGGAGTGCTCCATTTTCTCCAGAGACTGGGTGCTTGCTGCATGTGTTCCACCCTGCCATGACACATCTGCATGCCTAGCACAAGCTGTATTCATCATGTTCACTTTCCTGCCATTGCGAAAGAGCTCATGTTTGGATGCTGTCCTGACTGCTCCTGCAGATGTTGTTTTTTTTTTTTGCTGTGCTTGTTGAAGGAGGCTGTGCTTTAGGTATGGCACTGCACCCTGGCTAGTGGGGCATCCCAGAGTGCCTGGGGCTGGCATGGCTGAGGGCACAAAGGGACAAGTTTAAGGCACACACAAGTTACTTCAGAGTTCAGTCCTGTGCCTCCAGCACAGCAAACATCTCTACATGCATGTGCTTCCTCCACCATGAATGAGCTGCAATATGTGTGGGCAGAGAGATTCAGAGCACAACCTCAGAGACATCACCAGGGAATGCAGAACACACAGTAAAACCCAAGTTTAAACAGTAATAATTAAATGCTGGTTCTGTCTCCTCATGGATATGTTACATGAACGTGACATCCTTTTATTCCATTGCACACAAGCTCTCCCACACATCGTTCAAGAGCAATTGTATCTCATATATCCATTACATCTCTGTCTAAATGCATTTAATGACTTTACCATTTTCTTTCCTGTTAGCAATGCTTCTTACAGTTGTTTCAAGGAAAGTGTGATTTCTAGAGACAGCCTTGTCTCTGCTCCATTTTAGCTGTCTGTCATGTAGAATTGACAGCTGTGTCAGATAAGTCACATCTGCACTGTTGCAGTTTTTGATTTTCTTATTTAAATTTACAGTACTAGAAGCCAAAAATCACACTGAGTCCTGGCTTCCTATAACTGCTTGTCTTACAGGGATGAAGCAGAGCTTTGTGATTTCATGTTTGCTTACTCCAAAGAGCTACTGGTTGTCAGAAGGGGATAGGGGGCAAGTTCAGATGTCCCTCGTGGCAAGGAAATTAATGTCATGACGCTCATCCACTTCCAGATCCCTCTGCTTTGCCCCTGTGAAGTGCTTTGAGGATTAACTGAGTTCTATCCGGAGCTTACAGTGTCAAATCCAGGCTCTCCCTCAGCTGAAGAGGAAGTGGAAAGTAAACATTTGAAAGAGGCAATGAGAGGTTGGCTTGCTCCCTATCCTGGGACACTCTACTCCAGGATCCCACTGATTTCAATAAACAAATCTAAATTTTTACCAATTTTTTAATTTTCTGTCGCATTTTGTTTCTAATGAAAGCTGGCAAACAGGAGGGAGCATCCTCTCTCAGACAGGTGCCTCGCTGGATGCTCTGCCACAACCACAGCACTGGGATGACCACTGCACCCAAACCAGAGGAAATGGGATGTTGAAGACAGCAGCCTGGGCTCCTTCTGTAGACAGGTATCTGGTAAGAAAGCCATGGGAGACCCAAACCCTCCCTGGCAGAGCCATGGGCCACAGGAACAAGCCCCTCTCTGGTGCCCCCAGCTGGGTCCTGCAGCAGGCAGATGTGAGCAAAGCACATCCCAGGACCTTGTGGAATGGAGCAGCCCTTCCCAACAAAAGCAGTCATTTTCCTCCATGGGAAGGAGATTTCAGATGAGATCAGCAAGGCTGCCAGCTTGGAGCAAAAGCTTCCAGACCACCTCAATCCCCATGCCTCAGGTTTCCTGCATTCCTGCCAGGACCACTCAGAATATCCAAAAGGCCTCATTTTCCTAGGGAAACATGAGCAGTTCATTGCTCCCTGGCACCTCCTCACCCTTCAGCCAGGACAAGGGGAGGTGTGAAGGGAAGCCAAGTTGTGGCAGCAAGCTACAGAGTGGCAAGATGATATTCCTGCTCAGAATCTGGCAGGAACTGCCAGAACTCTTGTGCTGAGTGGGTGCCAGCACAAGATTCAGGCCACGTTGACTCCTCAGGGAGAACATGCTGTACCAAACATTTCTTATTGTATATCTTACATAAACAAAACATTTAGCTCACCACCCAGCACTAGCTCCTAATAAAAAAGCCAGTGGCTTTCTCTGCTGAGTTGTGTAGTCAAGTCAGCTCAGGGACATGCACAGGATGCTCAAAGTGGTCTGAGCAATCAACTAGAACTAAAAAAGGCAGCCACAGAGAGGTTTTGCTGAGCAGATACATCAGAGACAGACTGACCTGTGTAGGAAACCATGCCTTCCATCTTTCTTTGGTGAAAGACCATCTAACAGGTCCAAAAGTGTCCCAGGACATTTTCCCCTCTAAACCCATCAGAATTTCCATGTGGTCCATCACAAAACACCCTTTCCACAGCAGGCTCTCCTCTCCACTGCTGCTGCACCATAGCAGAGCCAAAACCCAGTGGCTGCTCATAAATTCATCTTTCTTCACTTGCAGAGTGCACAACCCAGAGTGACCACGCACTCTCCCAAAGTCCCTGCCAAAAGTGTGAGTGGCTCCCAAAGTCCAGGTGGGTGCTGTGGGGTGGCCAGGCTGACCTGAGCAGGCCCCAGGCTGCAGGACTCCTGCCTTGGAGAGGGGTTTGCATTTTTTAGGAGACCCTAAGGCAACACAGGGCTTGCAAAGGACCTTGCAAATATTGTGGTCTGACTGACAGGGGTTGCAGTCCTGCACAACTATCAGAAAAAAATTTCAAATAACAGCAAAAATTTATCTTAAAAGGAAAAAAGAAACTTCTAAATTGCAAGGGAAAACCTGCTTAAATTTCCATCCTCATTCGTTTGCTGAAAACCATGAAAAAATAAACACAATATGCGGAAACTCTGAAACCCCTCCCACACACACATTTTATTTTAAAAGTCCCTCAAAAATCTCATAAGAACTTGAGTATGATGGAAGAAATTCTTAGAGCTCAACATTAATCAGTTTGCTCTAAAAATAAAGCAAAACCCTTGATACAGAACCTCCCCTGGTTCTCCCCTCTTGAGACAGAATTTTTGGGATGTTTGTTTAACCGCACTGCTCAAATTCATGACCTATTAGAGGTACAAGGCAGATCTAGCAAACAAAAATGTCACACTGGGGTCACTAAGTTTGTCACTCTTGCAGAATATGACCTTCAGGGTAGACTTCTTTTGAAACTGCATTTTGAAAGAAAGAATTTTCCTCCCCTCTCAGTTCACCTCACATTTAATATTACTTTTTTGTTCCCCTGTTTGTAGGAAAGCGACACTGGGTGCAGCTGTCTCAGCCTCTGCAGGTGGTTATCAATCCCTGCCCTCCACAGCCTACCATGAGTTTGTCCCACAGCAGTGGGAGATGCTGCATTGCTGTTCTCTCCTTGGGAAAGCTTTATTCTCATTTTCTCCAGCCTCTCACAGCTGTAAATGCAACTGGATTTCAGATTCCTGTAGTATTTCCCTGTCAGCATGTCTGCACACCAGGGAAAAGGCATGATCCTTGTTAAACACTGCTGTTTTTAGCAGGTCCAACCTGACATGCAGAGAACGTGCAGCCTGTCCTCCTCTCAGGACAGGCACAGCTGTGGCACAGAGCTCAGATGGTGCAGGTCAGCTTTTGATTTGAGACTCCAAAGACACCAATTAATGTCCCACTTGTGTTCTTTACTGACCTGTATTGCAGCAAAGGTAAAAAGCTTCCACAACCTCTTATTATCCCTCTGAGCTTGCTGCCTTGAGCACCTGGTGATTTTCTAAGTGTGCTGGTCCGTTTTGCTGTAGCACAACTGTGTTGCTGTCCTCATTGCTAAGCAATTAACAGTTTGTCCTTCCAGAAATACCCAACGCCCCAGACACTATTAGCTCCTCGGAACATTTTCAACAAAAACATTCCAGGGGAGCTGCAGGAGTAGCTCTGCCACTTTCAGGGATGAGCATCTCTCCAGCCACATGCCCCACTAGAGAACATCAGAGCAGGATAGGGAGAGGGGGTTACTTATGGTCAGGCCTTGTTCTGCCAAGTTTTGCACAAACTTTTCACCTCACATCACTCTGAGACTCACATATTTCTTGTAAAATCCAGTGAAGAAACTTAGCCCTACCTACCAGAGAAAAGGGAGAGGGGGTTACTTATGGTCAGGCCGTGTTCTGCCAAGTTTTGCACAAACTTTTCACCTCACATCACATCACTCTGAGACTCACACATTTCTGGTAAAATCCAGTGAAGAAACTTACCCCTACCTGCAGAGAAGTGAACCTGCACAGGCTCCCATGGTTTCCAGCCAGGTGGGACTTCCAGGGAGGCTGGCTTGACCCCCAGATCAAAACTGTGAATCCAAGCTTCAAAAGTAACTCTGATATCAGAGGTAATTCCCTGAAACTCATGATCTTTAGTCACTCACCCTGGGGAAACCTGCAGGCAGTGGTAAATGTGCTAACAGACCCCTCTTTTACACTGAGCCTGTCAAAGGGTCCAAGAGGACCTCTTGGACCTCTACCTCTCCAGCAAAATAAAATCTCAAATAAATATCAAAAGCAACCTCCAAATAGAATCAGTATTTCCCAAATATTTTTTTTCATTCATTCTTTTAGTTAAAATGAGTAAACTCACATCATCGTTTTGCTTCTGGGTGACAAGATAGAGTCACTCGGGATTTCTGTATGCAGTACTCCAAATTCACATTAGTAATTGACGTTTAGAATGAAAAAGGTCCACACAATCAGCAAGTCCTTGCCATGAAGGCTGCTGGACAGTGTGTGGGGCTCAGCATGCCCATGTAGCAGTGGGACACTGCATGTTCACTTCCTGCAGCATTTTTGTCACAAGTGACCACACTGAATCAAAGAAAGGACCCTCTAGCCCATGGACATGCTACCTGCTGTAAGAAAGGTATATAAATGTGCACTTTGTGGGTTTTACTTTCCCACAAGAATACCCTCCCACCTTCAGCAGTCTGCAGAACCATGTCTCCACAGATTCTCAGGATCCCAGGCTGAAGCAAGCTGGAAGTATATTTGAAGCATTTTACATACATCTCTAGCCATTTATTTTTAAAAAAATTAAAATATACAAAATAAATGTCAAAATATTTTCTTACAGGTAGGTACAGAAGTATCTGCACTGCTTTATTTACACATTCTCTAGTGAGAATCTCTTTTAGAAAATCAGTTTAGGGTACAATACTCAGTACCTATGCAATTGTAGCTATGGTGTAATGGTCCTTCTTGTGTTACATATGACAGTTGCCTGATCTCAGCCACACAAAAAGCTGACATTCAAAATGCCATCAATACAGCTATTTGTCAGAACCTTCCATCTGTGTGAAACTTGAGTTCTCATTGTGAAAAGGAAAGAGGAATAAATCCCCATGTACGACAAAAACAGATTCTCCTTCAAACAGTTGGTGAATAAATGGGCACAAAACAAAGGGAAGAGGAGACAGTAATGTCCCCACTGCAGGGACATCCAGCTGCACTGACATCACCCCACACTGTGCCCAGAGGCTACAGGAAGGACTCAGGTTCCCCCTCTTTGCCCACGGGGGTTTCGGCCTCTCTGAAGCAGCTGCCCCTCCTGGCAGAGGAGCTCTCCCGGTGGCTGCTGAACTGGTGGACTCTCCTCTTGAACAGGCGGTGCAGCTTCTCCTGGAACTGGTTGCCAATGAAGCAGTACAGCAGGGGGTTGATGCAGCTGTTGGCGAAGGCCATGCAGATGCCGAAGGGCAGCGCCGTGTCGATGAGCCCCAGCACCTCACAGCTGTCGATGACACCCATATGAGCCAGAGCATTCAAAAATGTCAAAACGTGGAATGGCAGCCAGGAAATCAGGAAGGCCACGACGACAGCAGCCACCAGCTTCAGGACTTTGTCCCTCTTCTGCCTGCTTTTCCCAAACTGCTGTGCTTTAAGCAGGTGCCTCCTGATCCAGATGTAGCAGGTGGTGATCACTGCCAAGGGGATGAAGAAGCCGAGGGTGTTTTTCAGGAAGGCTGTTGCCACAGACCACTGTGCATAGTTCTCATAAGGAAAGGCCATAATGCAAGCATTGACCTCCAAGCTTTCAACATAGTGAGTGTCTCGGAAATAAAAAGTTGGGAGAGAGGACAAACAGGCGAGGCCCCACACAACCAGTGCTACAAAATAAGCTTGTTGTAGAGTTCTCCTCTGGGAGTGAATAGGGTGGACAATGGCGTGGTACCGGTCCACGCTCATGCACGTGATGAAAAAAATACTTGCAAACATATTCAGACAGAGGACAGAACTGGAGATCTTGCACATGAGAGACCCGAAGAGCCAGTTGTATCCCTGAGCATAGTAGGTGGCCCAGAAGGGGAGGGTGGCCAGGCACAGCAGGTCTGCCATGGCCAGGTTGAAAATGTAGATATTAGCAACTGTCTTGGGGCCAGTGTGACGACAGAGCACCACAACCACCACGCTGTTGCCAACCAAGCCAAGAACAAAAACTGCAGAGAAGAGGGCTGGAATGAGTGAAAACTGATAGTCTGAAGAGGTAAGGGGGCAGGGAGGGGATGAGTGCGACACAGCCGAAGAGTTTGTCAGTGCTGTGGACAGGACTTGGAGACTTTCCCTGGTGGTGACAACCAGGGAGTAGTTGCTCTGCATGTTGGTGCTGGTGGAGAGGGAGTTTCCTCAGGAAATTCATGGGCTGGCAGCACTTTCCTATCACGTTGCTCACCTGCAGATCAGAAACCATGTGTTAGACATGCACTCTGCAGCTGTCTTAGCACTGAGATCACACAGACACAATAAAATAAAAACCATTTGAAGCTGTATCGGTAAGCTGAGTGCTGAAATACCAGGCAGCCCTGCTGAACTCCTTACCTCCATCCCACTGACAGAGCACAATTAGCCCTAGGACCGTCACAGCACTTTTTAATTAGCCTGGCAGAGAAGAGAGCAGCTGGGGTTTATCTGTGATTACAGAGGGTGCTTTCTGTGGCCAGCAGAGCAGAAGGATTATGGACTCAGGAGCTGGAGACACTTTGGGAGCTTCTGTGACCCAAAGGCCACACTGAAGCTCCTCATGATCCTTTTCTCAGTTTTCTCATGATATTTCCAGCACTCTGAGCAGTTAATATAAAAGAACAGGCATGAAAGCAGCCATTAAAAAGGACTATTAGGAAAGCAAGCTGTGATTTTTTTTTTCTTTTTTCCCCAGTTCACAGGGCTGGACACAAAGACACTGAAGGGTCTTTGCAAAATGTCATTCACTGTCAGTGTCCTTCTGACACATATCTGTATCTCCTTCCCTCATGACAGCTTTAATCAGAACAGTAAAAGAGATAATTTCAATGTAGACACAAGCAATAAACTCAGTCCTTGCAGGCACTGGGTTTAACAGTACTATGTGCCATTTAGAGATATCAGGACTGGATTTCAATAGGGGAAAATGTAACTATTAAACAGCTAAAATAAGAGAATTAATTGACACGTCTGTCTCTGTAACATTTCAACAGCTCGTGTCTGCACTCTGAGCAGGACATTTTGCAAACTTTAAGACTTTCCAAGTCAATGAAAAAGATATCATACCCAAGTATTTTATTTTACATACTAAAAAGAGGCAATTCATTTTTAATTAAGTTTTTGTGGAATCAGGCATTTAAGAATTCTCAAGGAACTCTAAAAATAACAGACATTTTCACCAAGACAACAGATTTGGGTAATGATCTCTCATTTAACAGAAGGCAACTGATCACTTCAAACATATTTTTCTGTATCAACAGTTTAATGTACAGTTGCTTATCATTTGCTTAATGCAAAATATGCAATATACTACTTTGGAGATACTGACAAAAAATTAATTTTAAATATATTGCCTCAACAATGAAAGCAGGGGAATTTCTGCAAAGTGCTGGTATTTAAAGTCACAGATAGTTGATCATAAGCCCATGTTCTGTATTCAAACAGGTCCCAAACCGAATCAAAGCTTTTTCATTTGGGAACACAAATATCCAGAGAGGGTCTGGAGTCCCATTTCACCCTTATGTCCTGAGCCCTTCATTTTAACACAAAGAATCTGAAATCTCAGAATTAATCACAAAGCATTCCCTACCTCCCTGACTCCTAGCAGAGGGACCACAGCATGATCATTTGTACTGCATTACAGAGAACAAGGTTTCATTGACAAACACACTCCCTCCCTCTGGTCCTGGACAAGTGGTGCCTTAGAATCTGCTCTGAGCTGCTCCTTCCTCCCCTTACTGCAGGCACGAGGCATTCCAGCACAAATGGAATCAAATCAATGGAAATTATGTTCTAAGAGCAGACAGAAAACCTACCTCTCAAGCCTCACATTTGTCTGGATGCAGCTCCAGAATTCCGTGCTCCTTTTTTCTGTTTTCCTTCTGGTGAGTATGGCCACCAGCAATCTGCTCTCTCATATCTTCCCTTTTCCACTGGGAGACTTTAACCTACATAACTCCAGAACTGAAATATGAATGCCTGCCAACTTCTTTTCCTTTTGGAAACAAAACAGTTTGAGAACCCCCCTTTCCAAGGCCACGTGAGCACATGCAGTAAATCAGGAGAGAGCAACAAGACAGCCAGAAAAAAAGGGGGAAAAAAAAAAAGGAAATGAAGCAAGCAAGAAAAAGGAAATTCACACAAATATCCCTGTGGTTTTCTACTGCAGCTCTCAGGCCAGGAGGACACACCCACATGCAGCCCCTTTCTGCCCTCCACGTGCACACACCACTTGTGGGAGCCTCCATGAAAGGATCCATGCATCTCTGAGGGCAGCGGGATTCCCGTGCAGCCCGTGGAGTCCTAGCACTGGCTAACACATCTGAGAGTGAAATAGGCTGTTAGTTTTGGCAGAATTGACTAGAATGTGAACACAGAGAGACAGAAAGTGGAGAAACATCACCGCATTCACAACAGTACTGCCTGGGTAAGGGGGCTGATCCCATCTCCCGGTCAGAATGGGAAAGCCACTGTCCCATTCCTTGCAAAGACAGGCACACTGCTGGGGCTGAGGAAGGCAGCAGGACAAATCAGGCCAAATTAGGACAAATCAGACAGCAAGATGTGGCTGAGAGCAGGCTTGGTTCTGAGGCTGCACTGGGGTAGGGCATGACCAAAGTGAGATCATACCAACTCCCATTCACACAACATTTTTTACATCTGCTCCTTCCTTGCATCACATGCTGTGCCTGGCCCCAGCTCCCTCTCCCTGGAAGGAGCTCCAAGGGGGCTCCTGGAGGATGAGAACAGTGGCAAAGGAAGCACCCATAGGTTTAACCATTTTGCCCTGATGCCTGAGTGTGATCTCTGCAGTGTCCATTGACTGGGGGCACGTGTGCTGTGCTCCCCAGCAAGGCTCACAGACAGAAAGCAACCACTGGAGCCCCTGGCAGTGACATGTCCCTTTGCCCCTGGCTCTCAATCACTAGCCAGCACTGGACCCAAGCTCATCCCATGCTCTGAACACCAGCACAGCCTCGGGGTGATGTGCATCCACCTGTGGGGCTTGGGGGAACCCCAGTGCCTGGCCTTGCTCCAGGAGTGTGCAGCACACCAGAGCCATCACCAGCTCTGCTGGTACCAGAGTGACCCAGAGGAGAGATGGAAAACAACCTGTTAACAGCATCTTCAGGGGAACCAAGGGCTGAGCAGGCTGTGGAGAAGAGTCTCACCAGTTGCACCACAGCCCAGCTACGTTTTTGACCAGTAAAAGCTTCAGAGAGTATTGAAAAAGCTTATCAGCAAACTCATATACACCCATCCCCTGGAGGTGAGTGCTACATTCAAGGCAGAGAGAAGAGTCCTTGGCAGCTTTTGTCTTTATCTGCCTCATAATTCAAAGTCCAGTTCTTAGCATTTTCTGTGCTAAAAGGAGACTGAGTTATTTAAAGAAAGGGAATCCCACACAGCATTTCTATTTACCACAGTTCAACGATTTACTGCTTCAAGGACATGATGACAAAGCAGTCCATGGTCAGGACTGTCAGGCTGCAAGCACACAGAGGAAAGTCAAGAGTCCTGCTGCAAAGGAGCAGAGATGCACCTTCTGCCACCAATTCCCCCTGTACAGACCCTGTCTGGGGTCTGCTGGCCCACTGGTGAGTGACCTGAGATGTCAGCACTCACTCTGAACCATATTTATTAATTTTTTTTGGTAACAAGATGTGCCAGGACACCCTCAGCCAGGAGTCTTTGCTGCTAGTTGCACACAAACCATTGGTAAAAGGTTTTGCTGCATTCCTCAGCAAACACCCCATGAAGGAAAAATGCACAAGAATGTTTATTTTTCAAAAATAACAAACACTCGTTGTTTAGACTTAAATATAAAGTTTTCCTTGCCACACAACTTTGATACTTACAGATGCTGACTGTGTTTATTCTGTTTTGCCTACAGAATTGAGACTTCAGCAGACAAGAAATGGCCCTGCTGCAGGCAGGCAATGGGGGTTATAGCTCAGGCTGCCCTTTGACAAATCCTGCTCCTGTTCTCTCCCCTGCCAATGCTCAGTGCATCTGATTCCTTATCTGATCCCAAGTCCGCACTGCAAAGCTTCCTCTCACTAATGTAAAAATCCCTCTCTCTTCTATTTCCCCATCACTTCTTTCTTCCTCTCACTATTTCTGAACATCTTGTATGGCTGTGAAACAGATGCCCAAGCTGTCCATGCACAAAACAACCTCGTGCCATGTAGAGCTGAGCTGAGCTAATGCCCCCTGAGCTTGTGGGATGTGTTTTTCACACCAGGCTGGTAAATCCAGCGCATGGATCTGCTGCAGCAGAGCCCAGCACACAGCTCAGCACAGGGCAGAGCTTTTTCACTGCTCATCTGGCTGCAAAGTTACAAAAGCTGAGAGTTTTCAACACAAGAACTGTTTGATTTTAAATTAGTAGAGGCTTGAGGTATCTGGGGTTTAATTTGGGGAAGGATTTTTGGTACATCTTTTATACCAACTAAAAAAATTCACAGTTCAAGAGGAGCAAGAAGTTTGCAAGTCCACATACAGCCCTTAGGTTTGTCTTTCTATCCTCAAGCCTATGCACCTGAAGAGGTCAAATGTCACCAGAAGTGTCTAAAAAAAAAAACAAACCCAAAAAACCCCAAACCACTAGACACTCAATTCAAATATCACCTTCTGATCAACTGTACAAATAAAAAGAAAAGGATCCATGCACTCCAAGTCCTAGATCTTGGATTTTGCAGGGAAGTGCTGCCGCTGTCAGGGATGGAATATTCCAAACAAGCAGCCTGACAGTGCCAGCAGGCTGTCAGAGCCACCTCTTGAGGCTAAACCTTGCCAGCCTGCCAAAGGCTCAGGGTAATGTGAGATCCAGAGGCAAACTCTATTCATGGGCTTGATTTGTTCCTTTTTGAGAAAGCAAGAGGGGAAAAAAACCTTTTATGAATGTGCTCCCCAGGATGCATAACCCAACACATATCACTGTGGCTGTGTTTGGTGTTGATTTACAGCAGGATCCCCTGACTCCCTGGTCCCAGGGCTGGCAGCAGGAGTTGGGGATCCAGCACCAAATGCCAGGGCAATGATGATTTTCATCATGCCAGACCCTGGCATTAGCTCAGTTGGCTGGAGCATGGTGCTAATAATGCCAAGATTTGATCCCTGCATGGGCTGGAAGAGCTGGATTTGATGATCCTTGTGGGTCCCTTCCAACCCAGAATACTCTGTGATTCTGGGGTGTGCCGTGCCAAACATTCCAGCATTCCATAAACTTTTCTAAGCATTCCTCCTTCCTGCATTTGTTTATTCAAGGGTTTCTTTAGGGATTCATTGCTCAGTCGTGCAAGACTGGAGAATCTAACTCACCCTTCCCCAGCCCCAGAGCACTCCTTCAGAGAAAGCTGACTGCTTGCATCCTTCCTGAGGACAGGGAAGGGAGCAGTTGTGAGCACTGCCCTTGAAGGCTGAAGGCTGGGGCAGTGACTCCCATTCCCATCCAGCACCCATGGCTCTTGCTGGGTCACTTCTGGGTCCTAGCACTGCCTCAGGTACCTCTGAAGCATGATCAGCTCTGGCAGTGGCTGTCTGCAAACCCAGGGTTTTGGCCAAGAGGGAGAGCTGCCAGCATTCTCAAAGGCAAGACCGTGCTCAGTGTTTCACTCTCCCTGCTGGGGCCATGATTTCACGTGGAAGAACTAAGCAGGGCTGGGGAAAGTGCTGCTTTTTCACTTCACAGGAGCACAGCAGTGACCACAAGAGCCACCCAGACAGGGCCCATCAGACACTCTGAGAGAACAGACCTTCTGTGCTGGAGGAGGTCAGTTTTGGAGCAGCTCAGTGAGTGTGACAGAGGCATTTGGGAGGGAAGAGGGATGCCCTTTCCACCTTCAGCATGCAGAAAACTTATCCAAAGCATTTATTTTATGAGAGATGTTTGTGTCCAGCCAACAGCACTGCCAAGATTGAGGTTATCCTCCACGACATTGTTTGTTCAAATTATTGGCTGTAAGCATTTTACAAGCTCCTAAAAGCAGTGAAGAAAACAAGCAGATAAGTGATTTTGAAAACAAGCTGCACCCGTTGCTATTAAAGGCAGGAAATGCACACACCCTGGCACCACTGCCTGTTCTTGGGGCATGTCTGCTCTTGCTGAAGGCAGCAGGACTTGGTCAAAACTCCATCCCTGAGAGCTGCACAGCTCCCAGCCATGCCCCCAGCACAGACAGACCACCAGACTGCAGGGCCTGCCAAAAACAGGCACAGAGCCTTCATGGCCACGGCAGAGCAGCATTTCAGCAACTGAGACCACCACAGGAAGCCACAGTCAGCTTTCATAATTTGTCATCACAGGTAATTTTCTCCTCACTTCTCTCAAAGCAGTTGCTGTGATGAGCAGCAGAAGTCAAGACACTGGTGCCCAGAGCCTGTGGGAGAGTTCCCTCCTGTCTAACTTCTGCTTTATTTGAACTAATATAGTTATACATAGCCTGGCATTCAAAGGATGTGGGAGAATGCTTCACATTTCTCCTTAGGGTCTCAAGGTGGTATTTAGGGAGAGTTAGGGCTCTGTGGAAATTTTTATAGAGTTAAAGAGCACTCAAAGGGTCTCTTTCCAGAGATCTTTTAAAAATAAAGATCTTCCTCCCTTTGCTATTCTGAACTATAACCACTGCAAACAGCTTCCCACTTTTTAAGTGCTTTTACTAGAAATTCCTCTTATGTTCCAAGAATAGTGAGATACACATGAAAGAGAGTTCACCAGCTAGATAAAGCTTTGGGGGTGTCAGATTATTCCTGACATTTGCACATTCCACATTATTTAATCAATCTTTTAACCAACTAAGCTATTAAGTGATTCTACTAATTCCATCTTTCCCCAACAAAAAGTTTAAAGAATGCAAACATTGTTCTTTTAACTTATTAGACTAGCAAGACCATCCCAAAGTAGATATTTTTGACTGCTGCCTCAATCTTCTAAAGAAAATTCTTCTCCTTAAAATCTACAGTATTAGGCAAGGCTCTTGACATCAGCTACAAACAATTTCTGAAGGGGATGTGCTGGGCTATAAATCCCAGATGTCTGATAAATCAGTGACTGAAAAAAAGACAAAAACACAACCATGGTCATGTGGTGGGTGGAATACATTTTAACAGAAGACCTGCAGTGGTTCAGCTTTTCCATTAAAGCTGGGTGGATGAGCCACCTCAGCCAAACCACATGATGCACTCCAGAAACCCTCCAAGCAGATGGAGGGAGACAATCAGAATCCCTGCACGTGGAGCACAAAGAGCTGACCCTGGACAAGAGAGCCCAAGAGCAGGATGCTAATATTTGAACTGACCATAAAGGAAAGTTTGCTAAAAAGGCAGGTGGAGAAAAACTCATGTGTCTGTTCTTCTCAAGGAGGACATCCTTACCTTGCCTCTGCAGCACCTGGTGTGGCAGTGACTGCAGTAGAGATGCTCAGGAAGCTGGAGCATTGCTGAGCACAGGAGCACTGGGCACTGCAGCACACACAGGACATTCCTGTGGCCAGCACTCAGCCCCCAGCAAAGGTTTAGCTCTCCACAGTGCTGAGTGTTGGCACACTACTGCACTGCTTCCACCCCAAGGGCAGCTGCAGCCTGCGCTGCCATCAGTAAGTTTGGGCAGCCACAGCCAAAATCCTCTCACCCCACCTCCATGCTTTGTGTAATCCTTACAGGGAGAAACTGGAATTGCCAAACCTGTGACAAAGTGTAAAAATCTGGTCACTTTGATACTTACGGGTTTCCTTGGCCCTGTAGGCTCTAAAGCAAGGAAGCATTCTGCAGCTGCATGGTCCTGTTCCTCCACAGTGTTTGAGTCCAGTAAAGCAACATCTGGCAGCAGTGAGCTCCAAGAGCTGCATGCTTTTGGTCTGAAAATTTCCAGTGTGAAATCAAGGAGAGTTACAGAGAGAACTGGGCTTTACTAAGAGCTAGAACACGGTAACACTGCTGGAATTACTACCAGAATTACAACCAGAAATAAAGCCTGTGTACAATAAAAGGGACACCAGAGCAAGAGATCAATCTTTTTCAGCCTGAGCTACAAAATTCAGCTAAAGGCAAAAGCATTCCCAAGCACACAGTGCAGCTCCCTTGTCCTGCACAGAGACCAGCAGAAACCTGTCTCCTTCACAGGGTTGCACTGACAAAGCCATGGAGGGATGGATATTCCAAGCTGAGCTGCATCAGGAGGCAAGAGAAGCCATGGAGACCCCAGCAGCAGGACACCCCTCCAAGGTGATGTCCTCAAAGGAGCAGTCCTAGCAGAGCCAGGAATACAGAAAACAAAGGTTCACCCACCAAAACCTTTGGCCTGACCCCAGACACAATCAGCTGGATGGGGTGAGCAGTGCACGTTTCCTCTGGAGCTCCCAGGACCAGCCCTGGGCACGGTGCCAGCACTGCTGCTCGTGGTGGAAACCAGATTTTGGCCCCCAGTAACACTGCACCAAAGCCTGTCTAACTAAATAAATGATGTTGTTTACAGCTGGAAGATGGTCTCCATTACACAACATGATCATTCTGGCCAAGCTTCCAGGGAGAAGCTGTTCTTCAGGGGATTGTTGCTTGAAAAAATGAAGAAAACAGAACTAGCTGAAGCCAACACAGTGATTTAACAGCACAAGAGATATAATCTGCTTCTGCTGAGAAAAAAAACAGAGCTGCAAACTTGTCCAGGTCACACTTACTGTTGGGCATACTGTATATTTGGGGGTTTAGCCACTGTCTGGACAGGGGAGAGAAAGAAAACCCAACCTATAAAACATAAAAAAAGAAAAAAGCTGAGCCAGACCAAGAAATTAAGAGCAAGGAAATGCACTGGAAGGCGGAGGGCTGACAAAAGGTGCTTCAAGCACATCAGAACACATGAGAACTCCAGCAGAGAGAAGAGAAAAAGAAAAATTTAGAGTGATGAAAAGCAAGAGCAGCAATTGTGTCACTAGTGACCCATCAGCTGCAAGCCCTGGGTTTGGTCCTCCTGCAGAACGATCAGTCTGGAGATTGCTGATCCCTGGCTGTTGAGTTCATCAATCAGGCCTCCAAATGCACTTTCCCTTTGCATTGTGGATATAGAATAAAAAACAGGTCAAGGACATAGAATTTTAAGGACCAAAGTCCAGCTGCAGTTGCTCAGTGGCATCTTCAGACCTGCTGGAGACAAGCAGTGCCCTGGGAAGGACAGAGTGCCCTTGGGCTCCATGTTTCAACGACAAGGACCATTTTTCACCCCTCAGGGCTTATCCCAAGAGGCACTGCCAGGACACAGCACTCCCCCATGCTTTCCCAGAGAAAAATGTCAGAGAAATGTCTCTCATGTCAGAGAACACGAGGCTTGCACAGCTCCTGGCAGATTCCAGTTTTACTGCAGGGGAGTCACAGCCATCACCAAGGGAAATCCCTGAGCTGAGGCATCTGTCAGTGTGTGCAGCCTCTGTCAGGGTGAGAGCCCTCCCCTCACACCTGGATAGCAGAGCCACCTTCCACTGCCTTTGCTGAAGCTCTAGCTGGAGAAAATCACAAAAATTCATCCCAGAATGGGTATTTTGAGGCAACTGCCAAGCAGACTCTGAGAATGGTGGTAACCCCTGAGCAGGAGCCTCTCCCAGACAGCTGCCAGGGAAGTCTGTCACCTGCTGCTGTTTGCAGAGGGCAGGAGGTGAGAAAAACCGCTCTCAGAGCATGATGCTGGTCTGAGAAGCCTCCCTGTCTCTCAGGGCAGCACTTAATCAGCTCTGACGTGCCTGAACACTTAATCCCCAAGGGGCTGCAGCAGGAAGAACCAGCTGATTTATTTTCTCTGTGCACAGTCCAACCGACCCTGCCCTGCCCGTGGTTCACCTGCCCAAAAGGTACATGCTCTTCTTCTTGCCTCCTTCTCTACTATCCATCAGAAATTATATGCTGTGGCTGATGTGTGGCTGGTCATGTTCTTTCTCGTTATATTTATATTTACTTGTGCAGCACAGGCTGGGCTGAGTCTGAATGTCTCCAATTCATGCCCAAGCATGTGCAAATGTACATCTGAAAAGACCATCCTCTGCAACAGAGCTGGACTGAAAACCCTACCTGGAGAAATTGCACCATCCACCATCTCTCTAAACCTCTCCAACAATTATTTGCGGATTCTCAACACCAACACCTTCAGAAACCTGACTTTCCTTCACAGCCTCTGGCTAGATGGGAACAATCTGACTTTCCTGACCCCAGGAACTTTCCATGCTCTCAGCAGGCTGCAAGAGCTGCACCTCAGCAGGAACTCACGCCTCACCTACCTGCATGCAAACACTTTCAGAGGACTATTGAACCTCATCAGCCTGGATTTGTCCCACTGCAATATCTTTGAAATCCACCCACTTCTATTTTCACACTTGCCTTCTTTGGAAAGGCTTGATTTAGCCTCCAATAACATGAGGTACGTGCCACAAGCCTTTAGGAACCTCTCCAGCCTCACGAGGCTGTCCCTGGAGGGCAATCACATAGAAGCCATCGGCAGAGATTCCCTGAAGGACCTGGAAACCCTGAACGATCTGAATCTCAGGAAGAATCGGATATGGATCATCCAAAACGGAGCTTTCGCAAAGCTTCTCAGACTGGGCATGTTAAATTTAGGCCACAACTTGATCACTGATTTGCCTAATCAGCTTTTTGAAGGATTGATCCAGCTCAAGACCATGCACCTTGAAGCCAACAGAATCACTGCTGTCGACTGCACCTTCAGACAGCTGCTCAACTTGAGAAACTTGTACCTGAACAACAACCAGATCTCCTCGATCTCAGACTCTGCCTTTTTATACCTAAACAAGCTGCACTTCCTCCACCTGAGCAAAAACAACCTCAGCTCCCTGCCCGTGCGCTTGTTCTCCCAAGTGGCCAGGCTGAGGTACGTGCTCCTGTCCCACAACCCCTGGAGCTGTGACTGCAGCTTGCTCTGGCTCTGGCGCTGGACAGCCACGCGCCGGGCGGTCATCGAGGGGCTGGACTGCGCCTTCCCGGGCCCTGCCAACACAACAGCACCCCAGCAGCCCCGTGCTGGCCCCCTGGGGCACTGCCCCCTGCCACTGGAGCTGGCCAGCGAGGACAAGTGCAGGGTGCCTGGCACCAGCGTGGCCCCCAGGCCCCCCGCCCTGCCCGGCCAGCTCATCCTGCTGGCACTTGCCTGCCACACGTGGTGCAATGACAGGGGATGGGGCACCGTGGTGGCCACGTTTTAATGGTGTTCCTGTTATAAAGCGGAGGCTGCTTATTTGTTTTATTGAGATTTGTTTACGAACAATGGTTTTCGTGACGGGTGGATTTTATATGGAAATAAAGGGGTTTTATGATACAGGAATAAATTATTTCATTTATGGGCAATAATCTGAAATGCTAACATCAAAATTCAATGCAAATGCTCACGTTGGCAAGTTCAGGGCTGGGGCTTGTGCTGGTGCTGTGGGGCTGGGAAGCATGCTCCCCTCTGCCCTCCCCACTTCCCAACTGACCACAGCCAGATGTGACCCCCTGGGAGGGGCTGCCTTCCTGTGCCCAGCCCATACTGGGCATACTGTGAATACTGCTGAAATAGGAATAAACTGCATGTGCTCCAGGACGTCTGGAGTCCTTAGAAAAGGCCCAGTCCATCAGCATTGCTGTGAGCACATGGCACCCTCCCACAGCAGGCACATGGGCATCTCTGCTGTTGGAATGTTGTGTTGGAGGTGTGGGCAAAACCACCACCATGTAAAACATTTTATCACTCAGCTGCTCCTCACAGCACTGAACCCCAGCCAATGTGTTCTGCATTTACCCCTGCAATGAGGTCACTTGTCTCAGGGATGGTCTGTACTGCTTGTGTTTCCCTGCATGCAGTCAAAGAGGTCTGTCACAGCACAATTCCAGTGCCACATCCCCAGTCTGCCTCCCTTCAGCTGCTGGGAGACACAGGTCAGCTCCTCTGTCCTCCCAAATGGAATTTTCCATTTGTGCAGGTATATTAAAAGCCCTTATCCAGTGTTTACTGGGTGCTCACAGAAGGAAGCAAAGGAATGTGTGCCAGACACACCACATTTGTCCCTGTCCTTAGAGGAATTATCCCAAGCTGATAAGAGGTAAGAGAGAACTAAACCCTTGCTTAGGGCTGAAAACACACAAACCTGCACAGTCTGACATGGGAAACCTCCATGGAGTGCAAAGCAGGACCAACCTTTGCTGTTACACCATGGAAGGGATGAAGTGGGGCCTCACATGCTGCATCCTCGTTATATTTGTGATTAGGTTTGTGCAAAGCATTTAAAGGTCAGTACAATAAATTTTTGCTTACATTGTTTGTGCTGTTTCATCATCTTCACTTTTCTAGCTTCACATACTTTGTGAAGTGGTGGAAAAATACTCCAGCTAGTTTCTTGCTTTTGCATTACTCCCTATCAAGCTGCAATAGAAAAAGGCAGAAGCAAAAAAGCAAGCAAAGTCCAGCTCAGCAATTTCTTAAGTCCCTGAAAGATTCCATTT